GAAATACTGACCGTGTTCTTCCCTTTTGGTTTTCTAACTCTAAATCTTTGCACATTTTATTATAGTATTTGGTTTTATCTTCTCGAGCTGATCTTTGAAATTTTCTGTTCAGCTCTTGGACCTCCTCATTTCTTCCACTTGCTTTAGGTTCTCTATACTGGAGAGCAAGTTTCAGAGTCTCCTCTGACATCCATTTTGACCTCTTCCTTCTTTCTTGTCACAGCGCTATTAATTACACTAAATTGTTGTTTTGTTTTAAGATGACTTCAGTTCAGTTTTAAGATAATTAAAAATATGCATTTGATAATTGGTTTGTGACTAAGGAAAACTAAAAGAAATGATGCGTTTGAGTTATGGTGTTGGAGGAGAATATTAGAAGTACCATGGACTGCCAAAAGAATAAACAAACCTATGTTGGAAGAAATATAGCCAGAATGCTCCCTGGAAGCCAAGATGGCCAGATTTCATGTCTCATATTTCGGACAAATTATAAGGAGGAGAGCCCAGTCCCTGGAGAAAGATAATCATGTTTGATAAAGTGTATAGGGGACAGAGAAAAAGAGGAAGACTCCCAATGAGATGGATTGGCACAGTGGCAGCATCAGTGGGTTTAGGTGTAGCAATGATTGTGACATTGACCCAGGACTGGGCAGTGTTTCATTGTGTTGTACACTAGGTTTCTATGAGTGAATACTCACTTGATGGCACCTAACAACAACAACAAAGGTTTACAGATTCTCTCACCCAGACTTCATGACTCCAGAAGGTCTAGAGTCCATGAGCATTTGAAGTTCTGTTTGGTATCTTCTCCCTTTTGATCGATATTGTTCTGTGGAATTTTTGTTCAAAATGTTCAGTAATGGTGGTTGGGCACTATCCAGACTTTGCCTGGTCTCCGGGCAAAGGAAGCAATTGTATAGACGGTCACTTGCAGTTATGTGCCTTAACCCACAGCACTAAACCAGGAATGCAGCTAATAGAAACAGATCTAGGATCAGAATCTAGGTTTGTCTGATTCTAAATCCTAAACTCATTATCTCCATATTATATGCTTCCAATAGGAAAGACCGATGAGAGTTCTTGAGGCAAAAGGTCTGAGAAAGGGAATTCTGAGTAGTGTAAATAATTCTCCTACTCACCAGGGTCCCGTAAAGCTTTACAGCCTTGGAAACCCTGTGCAGGGTCGCTATGAGTCAGAACCAACTCCACGGCACTTAACAACAACAACCAGGGTCATACAAAGCAACTCTGGTGCTTCCATGTGCTAAGGATGAGGTTAGTTCAATTCTGACCTCACTAAATGTGAGGTCTCAGGGACAAAGAGATGCTTGGGAAATGATGTGGTTGAAAGTCATCAAACTCGTTCCAACTGAGTCAAATCCAGACTTAAGGCAATCCTATAAGAAGGAGCTCTGGTAGCGTAGTGGTTACGAATTGGCCTGTTAATCTCACGGTCAGCAGTTCGAAATCTACCAACTACTCCACGGGAGAAAGATGAGGCTTTCTGTTCCCATAAAGATTTCCAGCCTCAGAAAGCCTGTACAGGGTCACTATGAGTCGGAACCGACTCCACGGCACATCACAACAGCAGGACAGAGTAGAACTGTCCCAGAAGGTTTCCAAGATTGTCATCTTAATGGAAGCCGACTGGAGTGGTGGGTTTGAACCACCAACCTTTTGGTTAGCAGCCAAGGACTTAACCCATGGAACCACCAGAGACTGCACTGCCCACACCAATGGGAGGAGTGGAATTGATGGATCCCAGAGAAGAGAGGGGGGCTGGAGGGCAGGGCCCAGTGGGTGCTCGGGGACGTCTGTACACCACATTCCCCATCTCTGAGGTGATGAGCTGTGTGCTCTGTCATTGTGAACCCTGGAGGCAGCACCTGACTTCCTCAGCTGTACCCTCACAGGGAGACAGACAACTGCCAAGCAGAGTGGGCTAAGGTGGGTCAAGGACAGAGGAGAAAGTTCCCCCTCTTGCAGACCCTCTACTACGTGCGTCAACCCACCAGCTCTAGCAGGATAGTGCATTACAACATTTGCAGGCATTCTGTTTCCCCATCTTAATTGCGGGGTGGCTGTTTTAAGAGCAATTGAGCAAGATGTTTATAAAGTACGCAGCCAACATGGCCTGACCTATAAATGCTAAGTAATGGCTGGGTTAAGTTGTCAAGAGTGCAGGGTTAATAAGGCTCCTGTGATACAGCAATTACAGTGCTGTCTTTAGCCGGTGAGATCACCTCTTTAATGGAATACTCGCAAGCGTCTTGTCAACCCTAATGATACAATCTGATCCCTTTGGGAAGTAGGGGGTATCTGTGCCCACTCTGCAGGTGACCTACTCAAGGCACTGAATGGTGGTGGATCACTTTCTCAAAGCCACATGGTGACTCAGAGTAGTTAGCTGAGAAGACAGCTTAGCATCTCTCCCCTGTCATTCTCTGAACGTTAAGTCTGCGCTGTGTTGTAAAACTGTTGCTGGTAAGACTCATCTGAAGCGTAGGCACCAGGATTCTTCCAGAAGGTAATTATTCTTACCTTAACCTGGGGTGCACTCTGGCAGGATTTTACTATATATCTACCTGGTGTGCAGGGGCAGAGTAAATTACCCAGTGCTCAAGGTAAGCATGGGCTTACTTGTTACTTATCTGTAGTGACCAGTCTTTGATGTGGTGAAAACCATATGAAACTGTTCACCACAGGTAAGTAAGCTCGCGTAAACCTGTGCTTACCTTGCGTACTCATTCCTGTCAGAGATGTAAATTTGAAAAGAGGTTTTGATTCTCAAGAAAGGTGTTGTGAGGTTGGGAGAGAGTCAGATGCCAGCCAGGCCTAGAAGCGGAATCTTGATAATGGTGAAAAAATGTGAAATGGTTTATTATAGATCAACAAATTAGCACAAGTAAGCTTGTGCTTACCTTGCTTTTCGGGTAATCTGACACTGTTGAGGATAGTTGGTAGACATGGGCATTGGCCATAAAGCATGCACCTGTGTTTTTGGTTTCTCAGAGTGTATACAAGTTATGTTTACACTGTCCCGTAGTCTATTAAACAAAATCTGTGTTGGAAGAAGTACAGTCAGATTACTCCTTAGAAGTTAAGATGGTGAGACTTTGTCTGGCATGCTTTGGGCATGTTTTCAGGAGGGAATCAGTCTCTGGAGAAGGACATCATTCAAAAAATATGTCACCTTAAAGAAGGTGGAATTAAATGCGGCGCACAGCCACCAACCACACTGAGCACGCTGCCAAATCCTTTCTAAGTCATGGCAGGACGTAGTAGAACTGCTCCTTAGGGTTTCTGAGGCTGTAAATCTTTACGGAAGCAGATTGCTACATCTTTCTCCCACTGAGCAGCTGGTGGGTTCAAACTGTTGACCTTTTGGTTACCAGTCCAACACTTAATCCACGACGTCACCAGGGCTCCTTACTGAACGTGTTTAGAGTTGAGGTACAATGTTCATGTTCGTTCTTAATTCCGCTTTATTCTTTCTGTCCCTGTCTGGCTATTGTATCTATTTCTTGTAGCACTGTTTTGAATCTATTGTATTCCCCCCCAGGTACCTGCCTCCCAGCGCTCAGAAGATGAGTAACCTTCTAGGGCCTCCCTCTACTGTACAGTTGTCTGTTCAGCTTCTCGCCTCAGAATATGGTCCTTTGCAAAACAGTTCCCTCCACTGGTACTTAAGGTTTCCTTCCTCTTCATTCTCTCTGAGCTCCATCAACTTTTCCAAAAACCATTGCTCTGACTAAAGTTTACTTTCCCTGCAAAGCATTATGAAGTTTGCTTTCCCTCTTTGATCATTTCAACGCAGCCTACAAAGGTGCTCCTAAAAAACTGCAAACATTTTTTTTTTTGAAGGATTCCACACTAAGGTACTGTGCCCTTTTTTTCTTGTCACCACTTGAACCAAAGCTAACTAGGATGTACACTCTCATATGAATTTTATCCTTTCCAGCTCAGCTCACCAGATATTCTGAAATCTCTCCATCAAGAGGATCCCAAACACTCTCCGGGCCCTGTTTTGGAGCAAGAGGATAGCCCATCCAGCCCAGCAGCCCGGCCTTTGTTCTCTGAGGGCTTGAGACATGTGAGTGTTGTCTTAATTCTCCTGCCACGTGATGTGTGGTTGTGTTTGTGGCTGCGGCACCGGATTGGATTGATATGCACCAGGTGTCAGAGTGAACTCTTATGCGATACACTGCGTGTGCAAATGAACATAGAGGTAGTGTTTTGCTTAGATGGGACCCTGGGAAAGCTTAGATACACTTTGAAGCTGTTTTTTTCTTCTTTATGGTATCTTATCATGAACACGTTCATACACAGCGGGAGTAATAATTACTATGATTAATAATAATAAAATAATGGTGTCCAAGGAGCCCTGGTGGCTCAGCGGGTTAAATGTTCAGCGGCTGGGAACCTGCTTCCGTAATAATTTACTGCCTCGGAAACCCTGTGGGAGCAGATCTCTGTTCTGTCGGGTTGCTGTGGGTCGGCGTCGACTTGATGGCAGTGGGTCTGGTCTTAGTATCGCCGTGCTTAGTATCTGGTCTTAGTATTGTGGAAATATCACAGGTGGGTAGCTTCAAAGGAGAGAAATCTCTTTCTTTTCTGACATTCCTGGTATAGTCAATATTCTTTACCAACATTATAATTCAAAGACATCAATTCTTCTTCAGTCTTCCTCAGTAAGTGTCTATCTTTTGAATACATATGAGGCAAAAGAAAATGTCATGGTTGGATCAGTCACACCTTAGTTCTCAAAGTGACATCTTTGTTAACACTTTAAAGAGGTCTTTTAAAGCAGTTTTAACCAATGGCAATCCTTCATTTGATTTCTTGACTGCTGCTTCTATGGATGGGTGTTGATTGTGGACCCAAGTTAAATGAAATCCTTGACAACTTCAATCTTCACTCCATTTATCATGATGTTGTTTATTGGTCCAATTGTAAGGATTTTTGTTTTCTTTTTGTTAAACTGTAATTCATACTAAAGAGCACTATGGGTTAATGTGCTGGACTGCAAAGTCAGTTTGAACTACAAGGTCGATTCAAGCTCACAGGCTGCTCCTCGGAAACCCTATCCAGGGCCGCAGTGAGTCAGAACCAAGTCAATGGCACACAACAACAACAACTGAAGGCTGTATTCTGTGATCGTCATTAAGAATTGCTTCAAGTCTTCTTCCCTTTCAGTGAGCAAGGTGATGATATCTGCATATTAACAGGTGGTTAAAGTCTTTCTCTAATCCTGATGTCACATTCTTCATATAGTCTACTTTCTCGGATTATTTGCTCAGTTACAGATTGAATAAGTATAATGAAAGGATGCAACCCTATTGCACACCTTTTGTGATTTTAAACCACATAGTAGCCCCTTATTCTGTTCCAACGACTGCCTCTTAGTCTATGTGCCAATGTTCTGCTACGCACAATGAAATATTCTGAAGTTCTCACGCTTCTCAAGGTTATCTATCATTTATTATGATCCATGCAGTTGACAAACTCATAGATGAGTGGTGGGTATTTGCATAGTCCCTCCCAATCATAGTATGAGAATCACAAAGACGATTGGCTGTTGTTGTTGTTGCTAAGTGCTGTTGAGTCATTACCGACCCATAGCGACCCTGTATAGCGTTTCCAAGGAGTGGCTGGTGAGCTTGAACAGCCAACCTTGAGGTTCAAACTAACTTTGCAGTCCAGCACATTAACCCACGAGCCACACCAGGACGCCAAGACTATGGCTTGTTGTTGTTGTTAGGTGCCATCAAGTTGGTACTGACTCATAGTGACCTTATGAACAGCATAACGAAATTCGCTGCCAGATCCCGGGCCAACCTCACTATTGTTGCCACACTTGAGCCCATCGATGCTGCCGCTTGGCCAATCCATCTCACTGGGGGTCTTCCTCTTTTTCTCTGGCCCTCCACTTTACCAAACATGATATACTTCTCTAGTGACTGGTTCCTCCTGACAATATGTCCAAAATATGAGAGACGAAGTCTGGCCATCCTGGTCTCCAAGGAGCACTCTGGCT